GGGGGGGGAAGACAGGTGTTGGGGGGTAGGAAACAGAAAGTGTTAGGGGGAGGTGTGGGGAAGGTCCCTAAGGTGAGGGCCAGGCTGCATCTCACCCCCCCCCTTTGTGTCACAGCCCCTTGGAATGCAGAAGAAGCTGTGGGGCAGAGTGAAGGAAGAGGAGGAAGAGGTGATGGATGCTGAAGAGCCAGGGGGCAGAGTAAATGCTGCTGATGAGGAGGAGGTGACAGGTGCCACTGAAGAGCTGGGGGGCAGTGCAAGGGGTACCCTGGCTGAGGAGGAGGAGCCAGCTGAGGCCGAAGGCCCAAGAGAGGGGACTCTCCCACAGAAGAAGGTGGTCCCTGGCATCATCTACCTGGGCCACATCCCTCCCCGCTTCCGCCCCCGGCATGTCCGCACCTTGCTGGGTGCCTACGGTGAGGTTGGCCGTGTCTTCCTGCAGCCTGAGAGTGAGTTTTGGGGTGGGGAACTCAGGCATCTGGATGGGGGCTTTGGGTTGGCACCTTGCTTGCCTAGGTCTGGGGTACTTGTGATGTTATGCGGTGCCAGGTGTTGTGCTCCAGAGCTGGCTGTGTCGCTGCCTTGCAAACATGGTGTTATACTTGGCTGTCCTCCAGCTGGTCCTCCCCGCAACTGGCTGCAACTTGGCTTTTTCCTTCTGGTGTTATATTGGGCTGTTCCCCAGCCATTTCACCCCAGAGTTGGCTGCATCCCTGCCTTGCATGCATGGTGTTATACTTAACCATTCCTCAGCTGTTGTACCCTAGACCTAGCTGCATTTTAGCATCACGTGAGCCCCTAACCATGTGGTGTTATACTTGGCTGTTCCCCACCTACTCCACCCCATAACTGGCTTCATCTCTGCCTTGCCAGTGCAGTGTCATGCTCATGTTCCCTATCTGTTTCACCTTGGAGCTAACTGCATATCAGCTTGCCCTTTATGGCATTATACGTGGCTGGTCCTCAGCTGTTCCAACTCAGAGGTGGCCATGTTGCAGCCTTCCCCTGTTGTTGTTATACTTGACTATTTCCCAGCTGCTCCACCTTAGAGCTGGCTGCGTCTCAGTATTGGGTGAATCCCCATCCCATGCAGTGTTATATTTGGCCATTCCCCGGATGCTTTGCTCCACCCCAGAGCTGGCTGCAACTTGGCATCTGCCAAGCCCCTGCTATATGGTGTTATACTTGCCTGTTCCTCACCGGTTCCACCCCAGAGGTGGCTGCATCTCAGCACTGTGAGGCATTTTTTTTTCTGTAGTGTTATTACTCAGCTCTTCCACAGCCACTCTACCTCAGAGCTGGCTGCATCTCTACAGTCCCCAGTGCAGCGTTATACCTAACAATTTCCCAACTGCTTCATCCCAGAACTGGCTGCATCAAGGGTTTTCCTATGTAGAGGTGTCCTCAGCTGTTGCCCAACCCCACCACAGAGCTGGGCACATCTTGGCTATGGGTGAGCTCTTGCTTTGTAGAGTTATACTTGGCTGTTCCCTTTTCCAGAGCTGGCTGCACTTGGCCTTCCCTGTGCTGTGTTCTACTCAACTGTTCCCCAGCCACTCCACCCTAGAGCTGTCCGCATTTTGGGAGGGATGAGGATGCCGGGGACATACTGGAGGGGCTGACCTATTGCTTCCGCCTCCACCCCCCAGAGCGTTTTGTGCGGCAGAGGAAGAAGAATGTCGCAGGAACACGGGCCAAGAACTACACGGAGGGCTGGGTGGAGTTCCGGGACAAGCGGGTGGCCAAGCTCGTGGCCTCCAGTCTCCACAACACGCCTATGGGCACCCGGAAACGAAGCCGCTTCCATGCTGACCTCTGGAACATCAAGGTACATGTGGCTGTTGCTCACCAGAGCTGGGCACATCTTGGCTCCCCTAATGGGCTATATTATACATGGTCATTCCATCCCAGAGGTGGATGCACCTTGGGTCTCATTAAGGGGTGTTGTACATGGCTGTTCCACCTCAGAGCTGGGTCCCTCTTAGTCCTCCTTATGGGGTATTATACTTGGCATTCCACCCAAGAGTTGGGTGAGCTTAACTCTCACTAGGAGGTGTTATACTTGATTATTCCACCTGAGAGCTAGACACATCTCAGTTCTTACTAGGGCATGTTATACCTGGCTATTCCACCCCAGAGCTGGGTGCATCTTGGCACTGGGCGAGCCACCCCATAGGGTGTTACACTTGGCTGTTTCTTAGCTTCTCCCTTCCAGAGCTGGATGCCTGGGTTCTTTCTGGCTCTGAGAGGGGAGTGAGAGGCAGGGGCCTGGGAGCCTGGATGCCTGGGTTTTCACTATCCCTGAAAATGGAGTGGTGGCTGGTATGGGGGTCTGATTCTGGATGCCTGGGTTCTCTGTATCTCTGGATAGGGGCAGTTGGTGGGGGCTTGGAGCCCAGGCACCTGGGTTCTCCCCCTTCTCTGGGAAAAGAATGGTGGTGACTGATGTGGAGTCTAGGAGCCAGATGCCTGGGTTCTCTCTGTCTGGATTGGGAGGGGGGAAGGGGAGCTTTAGACTCCAGACCTGGGTTCTCCATATTTAGGTGAGTCCTTAAGGCTTCAGCCTGGGAAGGGAGTGGTGGCTGATGAGGATCTGGGAGCCTGAATGCCTGGGTTTTCTGTATCTCTGGATGCAGGGTGGGTGCTGGGAGCCCAGATTCTTGGGTTCACCATATTTCTGGGAAGGAAATGGTGGCTGATGGTGAGGAGGTGGAGTCTGGGAGCCTGGACAGTGTGGGGCTGGGAGCTGGGATGCCTGGGTTCCCAGCCCTCACTTACCCCTGTGTCTTTCCTCCCCCCTAACCGTGATCCAGTACCTGCACCGCTTCCGCTGGCCCCACCTCAGCGAACACCTGGCCTGGGAGTGCCAGGCTCAGGCCCAGCGCCTACGGGCTGAGATTGCTCAGGCCAAGAGGGAAACCGGCTTCTACCTGCGCAGTGTGGAGAAGGCCCAGCGCCCTGCCCCAACTCCGGGCTCTGGCCCCAGCCCTGCTTCTGCCTGGGGCTACTGCCAGCGCCCCACTGAGCCTGAAATCCAGCAGCACCGTGGCCCCACACCTATCCCTGCCCTCCTCCATAGCATTTTTGGGACCAAGGATGAGTAGGCCTTCCTGATACAGCATTCTGTGCAGCTGTTCCACCCCAGAGCTGGCTGCATCCTGGAGTCTGGAGTTTTCCCAGAGCTGTGTAATATGCAACTGTTTTTAGCTGTTCCACCCCAGAACTGGCTGCATTGTGAAGATTAGGGAGATTTCTCTGCATGGTGGTACATGCAGTCATTCCACCCCAGAGCTGGCTGCATTCTGTGGCCTGGGGAGATTTTCTTGGGGAATGTTATACACAGCTGTTCCATCCCAGAGCTGACTGCATTCTCACACTCGGCAAGACTTCAGCATGTGCTATTATGTGAAGCCATCTCCAGGCTGTTCCACCCCAGAGTTGTCTGCACTGCTGTGGCAAAAAAGTCTTCCTTGGGTGGTGTTATATGCTATTGTCTCTGCATGTCCCACCCCAGAGGTAGCTGCATTATGAGGACTGGTGTGAGACTTCCCTGTGTGCTGTTACATGCAATCATTTCCAGGCTGCTCAATCCCAGAGTTGGCATCTCAGCTATCCCCCTCCAGTGTTATACCTGCCTGTTGTCCAGCTGCCCCACCTGAGCTGGACACATCTGGGTGCCAGGCAAGCCTCTCTTGGGCTCTGTGTTTTTCCAGGCTCCTTAAGGACTCGGCTACAAGTTTGGAGATATGGAGGTGATAAATCCAGACTACCCTTCTCCCCCACTCCTTGCCCCTGTCCAGGCTTCAAGGACATATCCAAGGGGTGGGTGAGGTAGATGCAAGCAAAAACCTTGGGGCGCTTAACCTTGGGCTGCAGGTTGGGAGTGAGGGGCACTGTGGGTGAAGGGGAGAGCTGTGGGCTGGGAGTGAGGAGGCCCTGGAAAGTGCCTTAATATTCCTTCTGGAAGATTTGCCAAAATGGGGGAAATACTGGGGCTGTTTCTGTTTAACAAAATGTCTGGTTTTGGGGTGAAAATACACTCTTTCAGTCAACAAGCTCATGCCTGTTTTTGGTCTCATAACATCCCTGCCTCATTTCTTCTTCTATGGGTCTGGGGGCTTGTACAGCTCCTAATAGCCCCCCTATCTCTGCTGTGGGGGGGGCTGGACAGCTTCTAGCACCCATGATCCTGGCTTGGGGTGGTTTGGGCAACTCCCAACACCTCTTATCTCTCTGCACATACAGCCCCTGGCGCCATCTGGGTGGGGGCAAAGATAAAGCTGGGGGGTGGGGCAGGAGGGTATAAGGCTGGGTCTGGCTCTCAGCTGGCCAGTGCCCTCTGCTGTCCCCATGAAGTCACTGCTGCTGCTGCTTCTGTCTCTCTGGGGGGCATTTCCCGGGGGTGCCCAGGGCTGGGTCTTCACCCACTGTGAGCTGGCACTGGGGCTGCAGTGCCTGAGGCTGGATGGCTACATGGGCTATGGCCTGGGAAGCTGAGAGTGCCAGGACACCTGGGTTTGGGCTTGGAGCAGAAATGAGAGTAAGTGGTGCTAGGAGCCCAGATACCTAGGTTCTCAGGTAGGAGAGTGGGGGCTTGGAACTTGGACCCCTGGGTTCTCTAGGAAGAGAATGGGGACTCGAGGTGGAGATCCAGGAGCCTGGGTTCTATCCCTAGTTTGGTTGTGGGGTGGGAGTCTGTGATGCAGGAGAATGAGGAGGCCTGGGAGCCCAGATACTTGGGTTTTCTATGAGCTCTCTGCCTGAAGCATTTGGGGTGGCAGCAAGGTCTCTAGACACCTGGGCTCTCCTTGCTCAGGAAGGGGAGGTGGGGAGATAGAACCCAGGTGTCCAGGCTCCACCCAGACTCCAGCAGATGCTCACTCACTGCTACTTGCCAGAGCTCCCTTCCTTGCAGGTAATTATATCCTGTTCCCTGCCTGGCTGTTGCCCCTGCCCCCCACCACATGGCACTGAGGCTGTGTCTCCTGCAGGGGTGTGCATGGCCAAGCACAAGAGTAATTACAACACGGCAGTGACACACTACAACCACTATGACAGCAGCACTGACTTTGGCATCTTCCAAATCAACAGTCATGATGGGACACAGACCTCAATTGACCTCTGCCACATCCCGTGCTTGGGTGAGGGCCCTACCCACTCACTCCATCCGCTCAACACAGCCATCCATCCATCTACCGCTCAACACACAGTCATCTATTCCTCCATCTCGCCATCCCTCCCTCCATTCACTCAACACACAGCTGTCAATCCATCCTTCCCTTTCTCCAACCACCTACTCAACACAGCAGTCCATCTGTCTACTCAAAGCCATCCCTTCATCCATCTCTCTATCCTGATGCACTTCCTCTCTCCCCAAACCCTTCTGTCCACCCATCCATCCCTACCTCCCCATCCCAGAGCTGGCCCATCTGATGTGCCAAGATTGTGGCCCAGGAGTTAAGTGGGATGAGTGCCTAGTGAGGGGACACTAGTGGGGCTGGGAGGGACTATGGGAGCCTAGAGGTGCTTTGGGGGTGTTTCTGAGGCTGGGAGTGTCTATGCAGCTAATGGAGGGTGATGGGTATGTGGGAGGGTGGGATGAGGTGGGGGTTGATGCAGCATCTTTGGTGGGGGCTGGGAACCCAGATGCTTGGATTTTCTGGGAGGGATGTGGGAGCTGTGGGGTGGGGCTGGAAGCCTGGACGCTTGTGTTCTCTGGGGTGGTGGGGAGCAGGGGCTGGGGCTGATGTTGGTTCTGGGGGAGCGATGGGGCAGTGCTGGGTGGGTGGGGGGGCGGTATGTCAGGAGTCTGGAGGGGCTCTGGGGCTGACAGGTTTTTCTGTCCCCCTCCAGGGTGGCCTGGTGGATGTATTGCCAGGGCCAGGATGTGGCAAGTTATGTGACTGGATGCAACCTGTAGGAACCCTCCTTGGGAGGGGAGTGGAGGCTGGGAGGGGGAGAGCAGGGGGGCTGGGAACCCAGACACCTGTTTTCTCTGGTTTGGGGTGCTTCCTCCTCCCTTCCCCCACCCCATCTGATTTCCAGCCCTCACCTTGGGCTGTCTGTCACTAATAAAGCAGCTTTCGCACTCTGCTGGCTCCCTGTCTCCTTCCAATGCAGGCACCAACAAGGGGGGTGGGGGGAATATAGCCAGCTCTGGGGTGGGATGCTTAAGTATCGTGTTGCTTGGGGAGGACTGAGGTGCAACCAGCTCTGGGGGACACAGATAGCAGGGTGGGGAATAGCTGAGCATAACACAGCAGGGAGAAGGCCGAGATGCAGCCAGCTCTGGGTGAGGCAGCTGGGGGACGGGAGAGTATTGGACCTTCCAGGCCCATTTGTATGCCCACCACCCTGGATCCCACCATCCTCCCAGCTGTATTTGAATCAGCCATCTCCTAATAATATACAAATGAGGCCAGGCCTTGCTTCCCCATGCCCGAGTTGTGCTCAGAGGCCTGTTGTCTGCCAACCCTGGCTGCAGTGGGATGCAGTTCTCTTCCCTCCCCAGAAGGGGGCAGCACAGAACTGTAGGCCTTAGCTCTGTGTTAAATGTACCTGGTGCCATGACCCAAAGGCATGATTTTGTGTGTGCTTCGGCACCAGAATTATCCCCGCCAGGTTGCAACTTCATTGCATGGGAGAGTTTCCTATTGCAGAGGAGAACCCTGGTGCAGGGATGAGTTACCCGCCTCTTTGCAGCTTCCTTTGCAGGGTGCATTGTTCAAGTTGCAAGAGAAATGCACGGTGCAAAAGAGTTCCCGCCACCCATATGCAAATTTGTTCCCCGCTATTGGCTAGTTTTAAATTATTCCCACGTGGTGGCTAGCGATTGGCCTGTTAGCCGTATAAGGGGCTTGAGCAGTTTCCACCCAAGCCGAAGAGGACGCCACATCCATCTCGTGGAGACTCTGGATACGCGGCAGGGTAATAGAGACCCTGTGTGAGATTCAGAGGAGTTTGGCGACCTGATCCATCGCCCACCTCTTCCCGTCTTTGAGCGGAAAGAATTTATAAGACGTATCTACGAGTCCGATTTTGGTGGCGCGCTCACCCAGAGCATCCAGAGCTCTGTTCCGTGGAGCCCAGCAAACTCCACATGACTGTCTGTCTGAAACTGCGATTCAAGCAAGCTTTCCAGCCTACACCACTGCCATCTCTGGTGTAAGTAAACAATCTTTAAAATCTACTGTTAAGCGTCTGTGCCTAATTCCAGCTCGTCGCCCTCCCTCTCCGATCCAGCGTGCCCGGGCTGCTGGCCACAGTCCGTGTGCAGCAAGGAAAAGGGCTTGGGTCACTCCCAGCCCGCACACCTGGCACTGCTATCATTATCGTATGGTACAGTATAGTACAATATTGTATAATGTGGCCTAATGCAATATAGTATTATATATTATAGTATAATATATTACAATAGAATACGATACTGACTTAATGTGTTATTAAACCACATGATTTTGCATCAATTTTGTGTTGGCGGAGAGGAGGGACTGTTGTGTGTCCTGATGGGTGATGGGAGCATGGAGTCTGTTGAATTGCATGGGCAAGGCATGGCATGCAAGCAAAACTAATTCAATGGAATTGTGACAGGGAGTACTCTCCAGGGCCTGGCACAGTACCGGCCCGCCCACCTGTCTAGGGCAGTCTGCCCAGTCTTATCTGCCATGCCTTGTTGTTAAAATACTAGTTATAATAATGTGGGAAGCTGCCCATTTTATGCCCCACTATCTAGGGCTTTACACATGACTCCAACCTTCCCTTATTGTGTCCCATGCCTTGCAGCTGCAACGCTGTTGTTATCATGTCTATGTGCCCTCTTTATATGGAGCCCTCTGAGGGGCTCCTGTCTCTACACCCAGGGCTGTCCCTGAGGGGACAAATCGGAGTGACTACCCCGGGCCCCGCACTTCGGGGGGGGGCCCACAGAGCTGGGAGGAGCAGCCATAGCAACTCCATGCCGCTGCTGCCAGCTTCATGTCTGGTCGCTTGCTGTCCCCCTTCCCCCCTGCTGCTGATGGCTTCTTCCGGTCCAGGGCGCACGGAATCAGAGTGGGAGCGGGGCCCCGCATGGGCTGATTTGCCCTGGGCCTTGCACCCTGCTCGGGTCGGCTCTGTCTACACCAGGCTTGTCCAACATACGGCCCGCGGGCCGCCATGTGGCCCGTGAAGCCATTTTATCTGGCCCGAGACACCTGCTCCGCACTCTGCAGCAGCGGCGGTGGCGGGGCAGCGGCGAGGCGAGGGGAGCTGCTTACCCCCGCGGGGCTGGGCTCATCAGCGGAGTGCCGCTGCCCCTGGAGCTGTGCAGCGTGGGGCTGCCCCAGCCGCGCCTGATTAGACGAGCTGGAGAGAACGCGTGCAGTTTCTTCTCTGGCTCCGCCCCTTGGCCCCGGCGCGCGGCCGGGGGAGCTGCAGCATGGCCCACGGCCTGCCCGCATGCGGGGTGGGCGGAGGCACCGGGTAAGTTCCTGCGCGGAGCTGGGGGCGCCTCAGGGCCGGGCCGGGCCGGGGCTGCGGGGCGCGCGGTTGCCGGAGCCGGGCTGGGCGGGAGAAGTTCGGCCCGGAGGCGCTCTACGCAGGGGGCGGCGCAGCGTTACCTGGCTCCTGGCTGCGGAAGGGCCGCCCACCGCGCTCCTGCCCTGCCCTGCCGTGCCCTGCCCCGCCCCGCCCCGCCGGCTGTTCCCAGTCCTGGCTGCTCCTTGCAGCCATGAGGCAAGGACTGTTCCCAGTCCTTGCCCCAAGTCCTTTCAGCAGCACACAGCTGCTGAAAGGCCCAGGCGGCTGGGCTCCAGCTAACAGCCCCCAGCCCTGGAGCCTGCCAGCTGCTAGTGGTGAAGGGCCACCTGAGCCAGGCTTGTATCCAGGAAGAGAAAACTAAAACCCTCTAGCTGCCCCTGTTGAGCCCTAGCTCAAGTCTGGGATCGTGTCTGGTATGTAAAAGCTAATAAAGATATCAGGGGTGAAAGTATAAAGAAGATTTATTGCTAGCAATATAAGGTGTAAGCGGAATAATTTTATGTAATAAGCACACATTTTTAATTTTAAGTATCTTTTAT